TATCCTGCAGAGTTGGCTCTCTGGTCTCCTCATCATCAGTGCCTCCAGCTGCTGCTGAAGCTCCTCCTTCAATTTCCTCCCTCTCTGATTGCTGTGAAGCCTCTTTGGTCTCAACCTTGTTTCCTTTTCTTGGGCGCCCACCATTCTGCATGGCTCAAAAAATTTGTTGGAGGGGGGGTAAAAAAAAAAAAAAAAATTGCTCACAAAAAGCAGAGAACAAAAAAAAATTCCTGGCTCCTTAACTCATGATCCCACTTCTGACACCACATGTGATGGACCGAGTTAAAAAACAGAAGGAGTCACAGGATATTAATTAGAAAAATAGGGTTTTTTATTTTAACCCAAAAATTATAAATGACAATGGATAAACTGAGCTCATAAAAGAGGTCAAAGAAACAAAACTGAACTCAGGCAAAAATGTAAACAAACTGGCTGCCCAAACAAACATAACTGACCTAACAAAGAAATGACACACAGGGGTTTATATACACTGGCTGATCAGACCAATTAAGACACAATAGGGATAACTAAACAGAATACAATTACAAATAACACAAAACAACTAACAGTACAGCTAAGTTTGGCTAAACTAAAACCCAAAAAATGAAAATCAAAAATATTAAAGTTTAAATACTAATATTTACTTAAATACAAAACTTATCTAAATAAAGAAACTACAAATTTCCCCTGCCAGCAGGAACTAGTGGTGCAGTCCAATCAGCATTTAAGCCTGCTGAGCCCTGGCATCCATCTTTTGTCTGGCCACTCCAAGGCAGGTAAGTACCAGCAAAAAACCAATAAAGTTAGTCGCAAACAAATTAAACTTTAAAGCTGATATAAATACACGGTAGCTAAATGTGCACGCTAACATAAAGAACAAATGTATCCAAATCAACTAATAAATGTTTTACTGAAACTAAAGTGTTGTATTTGAATGAAAAAAATAAATTGTGAAAACCAAATTGTGCATAAAAGAGTTACCGACTTCTGCCTTCAGAGTGTGGCCATGGATTTGGCCATCACACTGAGGTTCCTGGCAGAGTCTGAAAAGG